ACATGTTTGGTTATTAGAGAGGGGAGGGGGAAAGAGATGGAGAGAGATTGGATAAGGGGCATAAAGAATAAGTATGATTTATGATAATGAAGATGCTAATAAAAAAAGAACATAGAAAGCAAAACAACTTTCACTGTCGTTGGTCACCGTTCTCCAGAGATTAAAGCTTTTACCTGGAAGAGCCAGGAAGCCCATTTCACCCACCTTTTACACAGGGATCTTCTGTCTATTTCAACTCCTCTACGGAACTTCCACATACATTTTCTCACTTAATCTGCCCAATGATAAGAAGAGCTAACATCTAATCTATGTATCGGGCTCTGTTCTAAGGTCTCACTTAAGACTTACGAATGACCCAATAAGGTATCATTGTCCTCAGTTTGACAGATGAGGAAGCCAAGGCTCAGAGAGGTTAAATAACCCGTGATCACACAACCAGTGGGTGGTAGAACCCAAATCTGACCCTGTGCAGTCTGATACCCACCCATGCTGTTGACTGCACTATCTGCCGCCCATGCAGGTTATTATCCCACTTGACAAGCTCAGGTTGATTATGTGACTTACCTAAGCCCACATGATTGGTGCTGAGACTCTCACTTATAACTTCATGTCAAGATGCTGCACTCTCCAGGCCTCCTTGAGCTCTCCCTTTCAACAGAAGTTTTTTCCAGGAATTCTGAGTGGTGTGTGGGGTTTCAAGGACCTGCTAAGTGAGGTCATTCCCACCCTCAGGGTAGCCCAGGGCTTAAGATGCTGCCCCCTTTTAAAGGCTGCCTGTTTAGAGTGGCACATGGCTGGGAGGGCCTTTGTTTAAAACTCTGGGTAGGGTGGGAGTGGGGGAAACACACAATATGTGAAATGTCTGCTGTTATCTTCAGACCTCTTGACTGAGCTTGCAGTTCCCTAAATAGCTTCTCCAACTATCTGGAAATTTCTCCTTATGCATCTTTAAGACTCAGCTCAAATACCTTCTCTATGAAAGCTTTACTGACGTTCTCCCCTCCCCCACACTCTCTGACTAAAGTTGATGTCTCCTTCCCTCCTACCACTCCTCTGTTACAGCATGACTCAGAGACAGGCCATTTTTATGTTCTATGTCCCTGCCCATCCCTCCAGATAACTGTGGTCACAGGGAGGGGGACTGTGTTTGGGTCAGAATAGTGCTTGGCACACAGTAGGTGCCTTTTTAAGTGTTTGTTGAGTTGCACTGATTTCGCTATGACTCATCCAGTCTCTGCCTATGAATCTTGTAAAATGGGCAGGTTCTCTCTGTAAATGGCAATTTCCTGAGCACCGAGTGTTTGAGTTGGGTAAAGGAATCTCTGTTCATGACTGTGAACTGAGCACAGCTTGTGCCCACCCCAGGGATTCCTGGACCAGTTACTG